TTTTAGTTCTTCGGGAGATTGATGGACGTTCGGGGCGAACATTTGGCATTTCGGGCACTTGCGTACCCATATGGCGGCGTCGATCTTCAAAGTCGGCCAATAGTAACCTTGCCGCAGGATTTTATAAGACAACGCCTGTGCACCGGGGTGACTTCCGCAAATCCCCTCGTGGACTTCTTCAAGAATGTACCGTGAATCAGTTTCACTTACACATTTCAAAAGTGGAACAGAGTACCCTCTTTTGAACAGAGTTCCGTTGTCTAATGTGTACCGAGCTGCTCGAATCCGAAGTGCTCGGGCTTCTTTTGGGTTCGGAGGTAAGGCCCCAGTTTCCAGGTAGTGGATGATAGGATCCATCCAAGTTGGTGATTTTTGCGATGCTACTGGATTGATGGCTATGACCTCGGAAAGGGCAGTGGATGGCTGTTCTTGTTGGCCGATTTGGACGTACTCCGTGCTCTCCATCCCGGTACTGGACGCAAGTCGAGATAAGGCATCTGCTTGAACATTGAGAGTTCGGGGGATATGCTCGAGGTCGGCGGAGAATTTTGATAATTTCCGTTTAGCCAAAGAGAGGTAAGGTGCCAGCCGAGGTTCCTTGACTTCATACGAACCGTTGATTTGATTGACAAGGAGTTGTGAGTCTGAGAAAATTTTGAGGTGAGTCACGTTCATGGACTCTGCCAAATTCAGTCCGGATAGCAGTGCTTCGTACTCGGCCTCATTATTTGTTGCTGGAAAGAGGAATTTAACCGAGTGACAGAATAACCGATTCTCTGGATCAGCTAAGACTATTCCTGCACCTGCTCGGTTGGCTGTTGAAGAGCCATCAATATAGAGGACCCATGGCTGATTATTGCAGTGAACTGTGAGAGCCGGGGTAAACTCGGCGATAAAGTCGGATAAAGCTTGGGCTTTGATTGCAGTCCTTGGTTGATAGTGAATGTCGAATTGTCCAAGTTCAATGGCCCATTTAACCATGCGCCCCGAGGTGTCAGGTCGGTGCAATATTTGCCGAAGTGGATATGAAGTCCGAACAGTTATAGAATGCTCTTGGAAGTATGGTCGTAATTTCCGAGCTGCTATCACAAGTGCGAACGCTAACTTTTCCATCGGAGGATATCGTTGTTCGGCGTCATGCAAAGCTTTGCTGACATAGTAGATAGGTGATTGCAGCAACTCTTCTTCGCGTATCAAGACAGCGCTAATGGCAGATTCACTAACTCCGAGGTATAGGAACAACATCTCCTCGGGTTTCGGTTTTTGCAAAGTCGGGGGAGAGATCAGCGTTTCCTTGAGATTGTCAAGAGCTCTCTGACATTCCTCAGTCCATTCAAAGCGTTTCCTTTTCTTGATTGCTTCAAAAAACGGCTTACAACGATCTGAAGACATGGAGATGAACCGGTTGAGCGCAGCAAGTCGGCCGGTTAGGGCCTGGACACCCTTGACCGAGGTTGGGGGAGTTAGTTCTTGAATGGCCTTTATTTTGGCCGGATTGGCTTCTATCCCGCGCTGGCTAACCATATAACCTAGAAACTTTCCGGATTCAACTCCAAAAGTGCATTTCTTCAGATTCAGCACCATGGAATAACATCGGAGGATGGCGAACATGTCTTGAAGATGCGTTATATGATCAGAGGCGTGTACTGACTTGACGAGCATGTCATCAACATAAACTTCCATAGTGTGTCCGATCAATGTTGCGAACATCTTGTTGACAAGGCGTTGATATGTGGCTCCGGCGTTTTTTAATCCGAATGGCATCATAGTGTAACAATACAGACCTCGGGCCGAATAGAATGAAGTGTGTTCGGAGTCCTCGGGATCCATAGGAATCTGGTTATAGCCGGAGTATGCATCCATGAAACT